TTGCAAGGTTGTGTTAATGTAGCTTTAGAGAACAGTCAGATAAGAGACGGCGTAGCCCTGAGCTGCATAAGGGATAGAGAAGGAGGAGAGACCCTCCCTAGTTTCTCAGCCTGTAAAGGAGACAGAGGGAGATTTGTATCTTCAGACTTGCAAAATTCTATGAAGGTAGCCCTACAGTAAATTGGAATTAATTCCCCTGCTCTACGAGCGCGAGCTCTGGGCCAAGGCTTAGCCCGAAGCAGGAATCCCGGGGGGAGGGGGCGAGTTATTGGGGAATGGGGTAGGTGGGCTACTCCCCAGCTTCCTCGTCAGCATCCCCTTTACCCCTCTCCTCTTTCTTCTTCCCTCCTTCCCTTCCAGGTCACGCTGCCACAGCTGTTTCCCAAGCCAGCAGCCAGCCAGACTACACAATGGCCTGGGCAGAGTATTACCGGCAACAGGCGGCCTACTACGGGCAGACGTTAGGGCAGGCTCACAACCAGGTGGGTGCTTCTCTTACGCGCAGTTGCCGTCTCGAAGCCCAGCGGGCAGCGGATTGAATCTCCGGATGCCACCCTCGACTGACAAGTCACGAAATTGTCAGAGAGGCTCGGTTTAATTTTAACCCTTCGCAGTAAGGCGGGCGGCTAATGAATTTACAAATAATATTGAAAAGAAACAAAAAAAAAAAACACCAAAGAAATTGCCAAATGAAGTCAACGTGTGACGCTCAGCCAAGAAAGAAATAAGCAGGTTTATAGGATACGGGGTTTTGACGTTACGCCAGCCAACCGCAGAAACCAATGAATAAAGCAAGCTGTTTCTGCAGCCAAGCGAGGCTTGCCCCATTGAAGGACCTTTCTTACCGCCGTTGTTAAGTGAATCCCCCCAGTTGCACCGAGCCGCCCCCCCCCCCCCCCGTTGGCTTGGCTCCTCAGAAGGTCGCATAAAGGGAAATCACATGACCGTCGTTAATAGGAGTGCGTTGCCAACGTTGGTCACATGACCATGGGGAATGCTGCGAAGGTCGTAAGTGTGAAAACTGGTCACAAGTAGCTTTTTAAAAACCGTTTTTCACCCTGACGACCGCTGCAGCATCTCCGTGGCCATTTTTTGATTTGTTTCTTTAAAGAAAGAAATTGCAAAAACTTCTGCCTGAAGGGGCCTTTTCGGTCGTGGGCGAGAAGGGTGTGTGGGACGGGGATGATGGGTCTAGTTGTCTTCCCCACTGCAGGGTCAAGATAGGATTGCAAAACCCGTTGAGCATTTTTAATTCTGTTTCCACTCACTTTTAATTTTTTTTTTTTTTTGTCCTTTTATTTTTTCAGGAGCAGTAGAACAACTGTTTGATTCTCCTACCTTTTTCCTTTTCCTTGGAATCATTGTGGAAACAAACCTTTTTTGTAACAGAGGTTTCTAGATTTGCAGCCGTTTGAAGATCTTTCTTTCTTTCTTTCTTCTTCCTTCCTTCCTTTCTTTCTTTCGTGAAACACTAGTGGTTAGGATAATCTCTATTGAACTTTTTCTAAGAATCAGGAACAATTAGTAACATGTACTAAAACTTTACGGACGTGCTATGTCATTTTCTTCCTTTTCCTTAATTTCTGCTTTTTGTTTTTGTTCTTTTTTTTTTCTTTTTCCGGGGAGGATTCATTTCCAAAATCGTAAGGCAAAAAAATAAAAAAAATCAAAAAAAAAACGACAGGAAAAAAAAATTTAAAAAGAGCACGAAGCAAAACTCCGGGAACATGATTTGGAGGGAAGCCAATGAACAGCTGTGGCATCACAACTTTCCCCAAAGCTTTCAACAAATGGGTTTTTGTGTGGGCGTGTGTTTGGGTTTTATTCCTTTCTTTTTTTTTTCTCTTTTTCACCCACCCCCCATCTCTTCTCTTTGTACTTTGATTTTAAAATCTTTTTTTTTTTCTGTTGAAAAAAGAAAAACAAACAGACAGACAAACAAAAAACGCTTGGAAGTCTTAGGTGGTATGTAACAAATTCTAAAAGAAAAGAAAATGATTTTTTTAAAAAAAACAGTATTTAAATATTCTTAAATATGTAAATTCATTAAATATTTTACTTCTAATTTTTCTTGTACCTTGGCTGTCTTTGTTTTTGATTTTATTGCATTTTTTTAAAAGAAGAAACTGAATTATGCTATGTATTGTAATTAATTATGTGAATTTATTGGGACAGTTGCTGTTTGCTGTCGTTCTTTTATCGCGGGGGGGGGGCATTTTGTAGGGGCTGTATAATTTCTAGAGATCTAAAGGGTTAATATAAAAGCAATGTGTTAATTTTTTAGTGATACTATTTTCCTTTCTATGTTTCCCTGGTTGGTTGCATTTGTAAATCTAAGACCTCCAAGCATCTCTTTAAAAAAAAAAGAGCAAAATACTTTTTGTCTATTTCAGAAATAAATACTGTTATTTTTAATATTAAGATGAAACTGCTATTAGTATCTTTAACAAGCACTGTGGAACATTTAAATCCTATAAAATAGTAGTAACTATTTTTTAATTCCAGGGTGTGTGTTTGCTTTTGGCTTTTTATTTTTTTTTCCTTTGTTTTTAAGTATTTTCTTACCTTAATATTTGTCAAATTTTACCTACAGGAAATAAAAATGAAATCTAGTATTAACCATAGGTATGTTCTGAATAATTTTTTGATTTAATAAAAGGGATAATATGGTTTCCAGTGTTTATTGTAGTGTTTTCTTGTACAGATAACAGTGTATTTTTAAAGAGAAAAAAAAAACGGAAGTAAAGCTATTTTTTTCTTGACATTTTTAATTGATCTATGCGACATTCCGTTTTGAATTGTACCGAAGTTGCTGTTTTAGGAGCTTCCTCGCCCTCCCTCCCATTTCTTTATATAATGCTTGAAATGTCTAACTGTATACAGAAAAGAAAAACAATTGGATAATGTTCAGCATGATGTTTTAAAACAAAAATGTTCTTTTTATTTGACTGACAGTTGCATTTTACACTCTCTCTATAATAAAAAAAAATTCCACACGATTTCATTTCTGGGTGCTGTGTCGTTGTCCTTTTACACACAAAAAAAATTACATTTAAAAGTGGTCTCCGTTTCCCCTCTTAGTTTTCTGTCTGCTTTCCATTGAAGTGTTAAAAGTTTTTTTTTTTTCCCTTAGTGGTTTAGTCCTCCGGCAGCTCAAAAGTCATGGGTGGCTACATCCATTGGAAAAAAAAACAAAAACGATATGAAGATGAGAATGAATGAATGAATGAATTCTTTATTGGCCAGGTGTGATTGGACACACAAGGAATTTGTCTTGGTGCAAATGCTCTCAGTGTACATAAAAAGAAAAGATACATATTCATCAAGAATCATTAGGTAAAACATTTAATGATAGTCATAGGGTACAAATAATCAAATCATACAAAGAAACAGTCAATATAAATCATAAGGATACAAGCGACAGTTACAGTTGTACAGTCACAAGTGGGAGGGGATGGGTGATAAGGAGTGATGAGAAGATTAATAGTAATAGTAGTGCAGACTTTGTAAATAGTTGGACAGTGTTGTGGGAATTATTTGATGGCGTTCGGGAAAAAATTCCCCTTGTGTCTAGTTGTTCTGGTGTGCAGTGCTCTGTAGCGTCGTTTTGAGGGAAGGAGTTGAAATAGTTTGTGTCCGGGATGTGAGGGGTCTGTAAATATTTTCAGAGCCCTCTTTTTGACTCGTGCAGGATACAGGTCCTCGATCGAAGGCAGGTTGGTAGGAATTGTTTTTTCTGCAGTCCTAATTACTCTCTGAAGTCTGTGTCTGTCTTGTTTGGTTGCAGAACCAAACCAGACAGTTATAGAGGTGCAGATGTCAGACTCAAATCATTCCTCTGTAGAACTTGGCCAGTTTGAGCTTCCTGAGTTGGCGCAGGAAGAACAGGATTTTATTTTATTTATTTATTTTTGTCAATCGCTTACAAGATAATAGGTATAAGTAAAAACATAGTTATGAATACATGGATACATATAAGAAAAAAATATATAAAAAAAACAATAGGACAGGGATGGTAGGCACGTTGGTGCGCTTATGCACGCCCCCCTACAGATCTCTTAGGAAAGGGGTGAGGTCAATAGTAGACAGTCTAAGGTTAAAGTTTTGGGGTTTGGGGAAGAAACCCCAGAGTCAGGTAGAGTATTCCAGGCATTGACCACTCTGTTGCTGAAGTCTTATTTCCTGCAATCAAGTTTGGTGCAATTAATAACCCAAGTGTAAGGATGTCCCTTACACTTGGGTTATTTCCCCCCCAGTCAGAATTCAGGAGCCGCCACTCAAAATCCCCACGTTAGGGCTGAGGTCACCTCTCAGGTATTTGATCCTCCCAGGATGGGTGTTTTCCTAACGAAAAGAAAATTAGCTTCAGACACGTGGCTGGAAGGGGACTAAATTTTCTGCGGATATGCCTCCTTAATTTGATGGGGTCTCATCACCTTCTTCCCAGGGTATAGTTTTCCCGGGTTTTCATCCTTTCTGCTCAATCCTAAGAAGTTCTTTACAGGAAGAACTATTAAAAGGCAGAGCCATGCTTTGGAAAGGAGATCGGAGAACATTCCTAGTTTCTTGCAGAGCACCCATCCCGTTTCTCTTCCTTCGGTGGGGACCAATTTAAAGGGCCTCCTTTCCAACCCCATCTTTCACGCTTGCACATCTGCCTAAAAACATAGTTACCTTGGAAGATCCATCATACATAACCCGTTCTTTCTTCTTTCCATTAATATTTTCCCCCCCTTCCAGGCTTAAGTCTCCAAAAATCAAACTCTGCCACCTCTCTCTCTCTCCTTCACTTTTCTTTCTTTCCTCATTCTTAGTCCTGCCTAATTTCACCAGCGTTACCAGCCCAGGTTCCCCCATCTAATCCGGATCTTTTTATTTGGCAAACCGTGAGTTTGGCCGCCCTTAAATTTACCGCCTCTTAGCATTTGCTGTACGGTTTATATTATTACTTTCCGCCCTCCCAAGACCCCATCTGTAAAAGTGGCAATGCTTAGTGCAGGGAGGGGGCTGCTGTTGAAAGCCGGAAAGAGAGAGAGTGTGGGGGGAACCAAGAGGGGGGAAGGCAGAGGGAAGATGGCATCTTTTAAAAGACACCTCCAGAGAATCGAGGCAGGAACGGAAAGGTTGGGGGGGAAAAATGGATGGGTAAAACACCATTTGGGCATAAGGAGGGAGGGACGTCGAGATGGTGAAGCTCCAGATGAGCGTTTGATGGAGATGAGAGGCCTTCTCCTAATTCATTTCCCAAGCTCTGTGCCAAAAGAACATTTGGCCTGTTGCTTAATGAACTCCAAGGTGTCTCTTAATTGAAACCGATGCATCGGTGCCCTTCTACCCTGAACCGTAAGTGCTCGGAAAAAGCCAAGGAGATGCATTTTCTTAAATGTTATCTGTAAGTACCGATGAGTGGGTCCCCGGTGGAATATCCTTGATATGAATTATGGAACCCGGCTCTTATGCAAACTTCATTCTCATGGCCCCCCCTCTCCCTGTTTCATTTTTTTTCTTTCGAATATCTGGTGGGTGGGGCCACTCAGCACCGAGGCCTTCAAGACCAATCCAGCCATTAGGAATGGCGCCTTGCGAAGCCGGTCAAAAAAATAATAATATTGTTGGGGGTTGTTTTTTTTTGGTCAGCAGTCTAGTGTGGAGGAAGAACACTTAAGGGCTTGAAATGATACCAAATCTAGTAATGGATTTTCATCTGTTCTTCGTCTTCCCAACCCCCACCCCTAAACGGCCACCCATGACCACGCCGGGCCACTCCCTCCATTACAGACGTAGTAGAGTTGCTTTTGAACTTGGCATCATAAATGCTAGCCGATAGTCAGTTTGGGGAAATTGTGTCTGCCTCCGTTAACATTGGCTCCGTGGCTTCACGGCGATTATGGATGACTGAGCTGTTTTTCTCTGAATAACTTATTTGGCTAAGTCTGATTAGACGTGCAAGAACTACCAGAATAGAAGAGAAAGAATGGGAGAAGATATCAAATTAAGAAGATCTACAAATAGAAATAAGAATGACTTGGGGCAAGAGAGAGCAAAGATAGATCCAATAATCATAAGTGCCTTGGGTACAATCCCAAAACAGCTGGAGCAGCCCTTGAACACCATCGGCACTGACAAATTTACTGTCTGTCAATTGCAGAAGGCAGCTCTATCAGCAATGGCTTACATCCTGCAACAATATTTGTAACCCCATCAAACAGCTACAGTTTCTCTCAGGTCTTTGGGAAGACAGATGGACAAAAATGCCAAATCCAGACTAAACATCTGGCTGACTGTGCAATAGACCACAATAATTTATTATCGGAACATTTGAACAGTATCCGCATTGGCAAATTCATCATCAGTCAATTGTAAAAGACGGCTTTGCTTGGAACAGCTGGCACCCTGCAATGAGACCTGTAAACTCCATCAAGCATCAACATCTACCTATCCCAGGTCCTTGGGAAGGATTCAATAGGTGGACAAAGAATGCCAAATCAAGTCTAAACATCTGGCCGTGTGATGTACGATAATACTAATATTATTTGATTATCTGAACATCCAGTGGCATTGACAAATTCACCATCAGTCAGTAGCAAAAGGTGGCTTTGCTCGGAAGAGCTGACATCCTGCGACGAGACCTCTAACGCCATCAATTCACAACATCTGCCTACCTCAGATACACTTAACAACTGTGGTGAGCAAGGTCATAAAACGGAGCAAAACTCAACAACCTCCGTAGTTGTGTGTCTGTTCTCCAACATCTTGTAGAGGGAAGGAGGCCCGGACTTGGGAGATAGGAGCTGTGCATGATGTAATTTCCTAGTGTGGTCTACTTTTGAAGGGCTGACACATCTGGGAGATGGGTTGGTTCACCAACATCTGGAAGGGGATCAGGTGATTGTTATCATACAGAGAGCAGATTTTAGTGGTGAACTTCTTTGTAGGACAAAAGAAAACTTGTTCTTCTCTGGAAAAAGGCTTAAAATGGCTATATTTGGATGGTAGAAGATGACATGGCCCCTACATTGCAAGAAACCATGGTTTGTTAATCTAAGGTTAATTGGCAAAGCCACGATACAATGGGCTTTGCCCAGTAGACTTGGTTAACGGTCCTCAACCTAATTAAACAACTAGCAGAATTCAAAACGGTTGGTTTCCAATGAACCATCGAAGATCAGTCAAAAAGGAAATATATTAACCTTCATGTTTCGGGGTTCTGTTATCTCCCAGGACTTGAAATGGACACCTTGCATTAGGACCATCGTTAAAATGGCACAATAAAGAAGATTCTTCCTGTGTCAACCCAGAATGCTCAGATGGCCCAAAGATCTGCTGATCCACTTCGACAGAGGAATTATTGAGTCTGCCATCTGCACCTCCATGACGATCTGGTTTGGCACAGCAACCCAACAAGACAGACACAGACTTCAACGGATAGTTAGGACTGCAGAAAAAAACATCACAACCAGCCTGCCTTCCATAAAACCCCTGTATATTGTGCAGGTCAGAAAGAGGGCTGAGAAAAATATCTACAGACTCCCTCACATCCCTGACATAAACTATTTCAACTGCTCCCCTCTGAACCCTGGAACAGGGCATTGAAATCCTACCTTCTCCTATTGGTATCTTGTGATTTATCACTTGTTATCTGTATCTTATGATTAATGATTGTAACTATGATTTAAGATCTATGACCTATCACTTTGTTGTATATGTGCACACTGAGAGCTTATGCACTGGAGACAAATTCCTTGTGTGTCCAATCACACTTGGCCAATAAAGAATTCTATTCTATTCTATTCTATTCTATTCTATTCTATTCTATTCTAT